ATAACGTCATTGCATAATTTCACGTGATGTGATGACCACTGGGTTCTGTCTTCTTGGTGTCCCAATTATGTGTGTACTGTGCAAAATATTCACATACTTTTCTACACTGCTGAAACAATCAATAAGAATGACTTACTATTATTTATAATAATAGACATATCCCCATATAGAGGGGACCATTGCCAAATGTCTCCATGCCATAACTTGATTTTTCTTGGCTTTCAATACCGCAACCAAAATACATCTTTTTCATTAGTCGTAGGTTGTTCAAAACATGTTTAAGGTGTTCTTTTATTGAAATAGTATAGACAGGTTTGATTTGTCTTGATGTAAAAGAAGTCCTTCGATCATCAATGGGAATGTAGTAACTTTTTACATTTAATAGAGGCATTCTTGTTTGTAAAGTCTAAGATGTCTTATATTTTTAGGTACGTGATGTGGTCGAAACCATAGATGTTTGATAATAACTACTAAATCTTCATATGCCTTTGTGGCTTAAAAAGATAAAAAAAAAGAACAATTCAAATTAATTTTCTAGAATACATATGAGTGTCGCTAAAAGAAAACATACACAATGAAATATAGCCTATATATAAATGTGTATGTTTTCTTTTAGCGACACTCAAATATGAAATTAAAACATATTATAATAACCCACTTACATATTATATGTTTAATAACCCATAGGAAATTCTCTTGCTCAGTAAAGTTAGCGAAGTATGGACCATATTTACCATTGTTTGGCTTAAAGGGCTCAGGTCTATCTGCTATTTTTTGATTAGATAGCCCATCATCATTAATTGAAATGTCAATATCACTATTTTCAAGGCCAATATTACTATTATCATCACTGTCCTCAAGTCTAATATTATTAATCAAAACATCTCCAAGGTCATCGCTACTATTTACAAAATCACTGGCTACGTTATCATCTTCAAGGTTATCATAATTGAATGATAAATCTTCAAAGTTGTCATTTTCATTACTATCTTCAAAGTTACTACTAATTGAAATATCCTCACTGTCCTTAAAGTTACTATTAAGTGGAGAGTCTTGAGGGTCATCTGATAGTTTAGCTCGATTGTGATATCGCTTTTGAATATTCAGGTGAGGTCATCTTACTCTGCCTGATGAATAACAATTTTTTGTTTCAAAGTACGAGTACGGGTCATCGAAATACTAACAGAACTGGTTGAGTAATGTTCACAAAGCTCAAACAATTGAACTCTAAATTTTTTTTTTATTATCGTTACTCATACAAAGAAGAGTGAATTTGTTATCGTATTATTTATTTTTTTATATGTTGATTAATGATATAATTAACTATACTAATGAGGTAATAGTTAATTTGTAGCCTGCATGAAATCCAAAAAAATATCTATAATTATAATGATCCCTGCATAATTATGATTATATCGGAAAATTTTTCTGTTAGATGTAGTGTTGGGACCTTCGAGCTTTAATTTGGATGTATTTTGTTTGACATATACCAGATTTTGAATTTAATTTGAACAGATTTTTTAGGTTGGTCAAATAACAGACTTATGTTCATGATATAAAATAACAAGATAAAATATTCAAAGAGTGCACTTGGATTATTACTTAAATACGTTCACATTCACGCGATTAAATATGATGTGTTTTTTATTGTATAGAAAAGCTACCTCAAGTAAACAACTAATTTAGCTCCAATAGTGAATCTGATTTTATCAAGAATTGGTTTCATGATATCGATTGGTAGTGACTTGTACATGTGAAATGAAACAATTTGATTAAGAGTTAATAATTATAAGGGATCGAGTAATTGAGTAATGCAAAGTTAAAAATAATGAAAGCAAATCGATTAGAACAGAATTTAGAGTATGACGATATGATATATAAGACAAATCTTCTTAACAATAAGATATGAAAATTTGAGAATCGATTTTTATATACATCTCATTAAGGTATTGAAGTCTAAGCTTTATTTAGTGAATTTTCTTCTAAATACTTTTGAATAATATTGAGAAAATAATAATCGAAATTGTTAATTATTGCTAACTATTAATTATTAACTAAAAATTCGAAGATCTCATCTACTGGGTGGCTAAATAGTAAAATCAAGCATGTGCCTAGTTCAATATGAATTTGCGATGTTACAATTTTTTTTTGATTTTATATGTTAAAATTTAAGCAAATGTTTAGCCTTATTCTATTTAAATTGAAACATTATGCCTAATTATTATTCTCTTTTTCTTTATTTTCCAATTCTTTCTTTAAAAGTGCCTTAAAAGCAGCATCAT